CCCCTTCCTGCTGCCGGCCGCCACGGCCACCCAGCCGCCCCTCTCTCCGCTTTGGCGACAGCTGACCCGAGAGGCCCCCCTCGGGCGCAGGCGGTGCACTCTCTCCCCTTCAGCTTTGGTGACGCGATCGTCGCGAGCCTGGCCGAGGTGTGCAGCGGAGATCTGGGGAGATCTGGGGAGATAGGGAAAAAGGGAAAGATATGGTCGCGAGCTTGGCCGACCCTTCCCCGACCCTTCCCCGACCCTTCCCCGACCCTTCCCCGACCCTTCCCAGACCCTTCCCCGACCCTTCCCCGACCCTTCCCGGACCCTTCCCGCAGGCGACCGCGCCCCGCCCCTCGGAAGGGAGTGAGCACGGCGCGCAAGTGGCGGGCCGTCGGGTGTGGGCAGCGCCTCTTCACACCTCCAGCTGTGAACAGGCGAGGTTGGAGGCGAGCCTCTGTCCGGCGCCTCCGCCGCCGCTCCTGTGCCACCAACCAGGGAGGCCCTCGGCGCTGGGCTCGGCCGCTCTGGCCGCAGCCTGCTCTCGCCGCCGCGTGCGCCGCCCTCGGGTCTTCCGCTGCCGGGCAGCCAGCACACTGACGACATGACCATGGCCGCCCTCTCCGCCAAGAACGCCGAGCTGCGGCTGCTGATGCAGCGCAACGAGCGGCTCGTCTCCGGCTGCCGCGAGGTGACTCATCTCGTCGACGAGGTTGAGACGCAGCCGAGATCAGCCGAGATCAGCCGAGGTGCAGCCGAGGTGCAGCCGAGGTGCAGCCGAGGTGCGGCCGAGGTGCAGCCGAGATGCAGCCGAGGTGCAGCCGAGGTGCAGCCGAGATGCAGCCGAGATGCAGCCGAGATGCAGCCGAGGTGCAGCCGAGATGCAGCCGAGGTGCAGCCGAGGTGCAGCCGAGGTGCAGCCGAGATGCAGCCGAGATGCAGCCGAGAGGCAGCCGAGAGGCAGCCGAGGTGCAGCCGAGGTGCAGCCGAGGTGCAGCCGAGGTGCAGCCGAGGTGCAGCCGAGGTGCGGCCGAGGTGCAGCCGACCCATTTCTCCCCCATATCTCCCCCATATCTCCCCATATCTCCCCATATCTCCCCCATATCTCCCCCATATCTCCCCATATCTCCCCCCGTGACCAGGTGACCGACACGATCTGCCAGCAGCTCGCAAAGATGGACGCGCTCAAGCTGGCGATCAGCGAGCTCGCGAACCACGTGACGGACGCGCAGGCGGGTCTGGTTAGCGGCTCCTCGAGCCTTCTGGTGCTGTGCTCACAAGCACGCGTGACGGGCGCGCAGGTGGCCAAGCAGGCGTGCTTCTTCCTCGCAAACATCTCCGGCAACGACAAGTGCAAGGAGTCGATCCGCGAGGGGAGCGGCCACATCGCCATCGTGCAGGCGATGCCGCTGCACACTCGCGCCCCTGCTTGGGCGTAGCCCCCCTGCGAGTAGCACTTCGTCGGTGACCTCGACCTTGCTACCGATGCTGCTGCACTCCAGCAGGCCCCGCCCATGACTTGTCTCTGCTGGCCCCTCTGCTAGGCGAGACATGGGGAGATGTGGGGAGATATGGGGAGAGATGGGGAGATATGGGGAGATGTGGGGAGATGTGGGGAGACATGGCCCCCTGCTAGGCGATGCTGCTGCATGCGCACGTCGGGTCGATGCAGACCGACGGCGTCTCTGCGCTCGGCAACATGGCGCTGCGCATGCCCGAGAACTGCGCCGCCATCGCAGAGTGCGGCGGCATTCCAGCCATTGTCAGCGCGCTGAGCCAGCACCTGGCGCTGCCCCGCATGCAGTCCAAGGCCTCGGAGCAGCCGAGATACGCCGAGATCCGCCGAGAGGAGCGCCTCAGATGAGGAGCAACAC